TCATTTACCGAACCATGTGTGCTACAGACCCATGAATCTTTACCAAACCATGTGAGCTACAGACCCACAAGTCCTTACCAAACCATGTGAGCTACACACCCATAAATTCTTACTAAACCATGTGAGCTACAGACCCACAAGTCCTTACCAAACTATGTGAGCTACAGACCCACAAGTCCTTACCAAACCATGTGAGCTACACACCCATAAATCCTTACCAAACCATGTGTGCTACAGACCCATGAATCTTTACCAAACCATGTGAGCTACAGACCCATAAATCCCTACCAAACCATGTGAGCTATAAACCCACAAGTCCTTACCAAACCATGTGAGCTACAGACCCATAAATCCTTACCCAATCTGATTAAAATCTGATGTAGTGTACGGGCTTTAATTATTTTGGCTATAAACTTTTTTTTTTTTTTTTTTTTTTTTTATTATATTTGTTATTGATGCCCTTGTATTTTATTATTATACTTTGATTTTGAGATTTTTTTTTTTTTTAATTCCGCCCTACCTACATCTGATCCGACGCCTATGTATGTCCCGTTCAAATCTCGCGTAAGTAACAGCCAATCACAGACCCCCTTTTATACAGGCTGTCGGTTGCTTACTTTTCAGTGTATACGGGCAATCTTTCTGTACATTATATTTTGCCCACTTGAATAAACCATTAATAAGAAAATTGCTAGTATATTTTTATTTGCAAAAGAAATTCCACAGCATTTTACAATTTTTGTCATTACATTGAATATTTTTTTCACTTCCAACAAATGTGTACACTTCCAGATACATCTTCGCCAGCCAAGGTTCGTTCATTCAGTCATCGCTTCAATTTTACATCACTGAGCATAATCATCTAGAATGGAAGCAAAAAAATAAGTAAATCGTAATGATTAGAACACTGTAAACAGCTATAGTAAACAATGCAAACTGATTTTAAATTGTATAACGGTCACCGGCCCACGGCATCGACGCAGAAAATTGGAGCAAACAAATATTTCCTGATCAATTGCGATGTGTTCCAAATAAAAAATATTTTATTCCAGTCCAAATCAGCTCAATTACTTTAATAAAGAGTTATTGTATAATGTACAAAATGTTGATACAATTTGATGAATATTTACAGCTTCAATACCGTAGACGATTTTGGCCCGATCTTCAACAAAACATCACCCGTCTCCAGGGCAGGCGACTGGAAAAAGACACTGGTGTTCGGTCGAACCGGTGGAAACAAAATCAACACTCCCAGAATAACTATGCGGAATAACGATCTAAAGTCGAACCATTCGAGTCACAATATTAACATAAAAATGACTTTCGTTGCATTTGACAATGATAAACTTACCGAAAAGCCGTGTTATTCACGGTCGCTAACGTCGGTATAATCCGCCATTTTATTTGAGTGTGTTTGCCACCCGGTGACGTCATCATGTACGCTATAGAAGGAGGTATGTGATTCGTTGACTAAAATCGTCGATAGTGGGTCTCGTTGAAATCTCGTTACATAGGCGTCGGATCAGATGTAGGTAGGGCGGAATTTAAAAAAATCACAAAATCAAAATCAAAGTAAAATAATGAGATAAAAGGGCATTAATAACAAAGGTAATAAAAATAAAATTAAAATAAGTTTATAGCCAAAATAATTAAAGCCCGTACACTACATCAGATTTTAATCAGATTGATCCTTACCAAACCATGTGAGCTACAGACCCATAAATCTTTACCAAACCATGTGTGCTACAGACCCATAAATCCTTACCAAACCATGTGAGCTACAGACCCATAAATCCTTACCAAACCATGTGAGCTACAGACCCATAAATTCTTACCAAACCATGTGAGCTATAAACCCACAAGTCCTTTCCAAACCATGTAAGCTTACACACCCATAAATTCTTACTAAACCATGCGAGCTACACACCCACAAGTCCTTACCAAACAATGTGAGCTACAAACCCACAAGTCTTACCAAACAATGTGAGCTACACACCCATAAATTCTTACTAAACCATGCGAGCTACACACCCACAAGTCCTTACCAAACCATGTGTGCTACAGACCCATGAATCTTTACCAAACCATGTGAGCTACAGACCCATAAATCTTTACCAAACAATGTGAGCTACACACCCACAAATCCTTACCAAACAATGTGAGCTACAAACCCACAAGTCCTTACCAAACAATGTGAGCTACAAACCCACAAGTCCTTACCAAACAATGTGAGCTACACACCCACAAATCCTTACCAAACAATGTGAGCTACAGACCCATGAATCCTTACCAAACCATGTGAGATACAAACCCACAAATCCTTACCAAACAATGTGAGCTACACACCCACAAATCCTTACCAAACAATGTGAGCTACAAACCCACAAGTCCTTACCAAACAATGTGAGCTACACACCCATAAATCCTTACCAAACTATGTGAGCTACACACCCACAAGTCCTTACCAAACCATGTGAGCTACAGACCCATAAATCCTTACCAAACCATGTGAGCTACAGACCCATGAATCCTTACCAAACCATGCGAGCTACAGACCCATGAATCTTTACCAAACCATGTGAGCTACAGACCCACAAGTCCTTACCAAACCATGTGAGATACAAACCCACAAGTCCTTACCAAACAATGTGAGCTACAGACCCATAAATCCTTACCAAACAATGTGAGCTACAGACCCATAAATCCTTACCAAACAATGTGAGCTACAGACCCATGAATCTTTACCAAATAATGTGAGCTACACACCCACAAGTCCTTACCAAACAACGTGAGCTACACACCCACAAGTCCTTACCAAACCATGTGAGCTACACACCCACAAATCCTTACCAAACAATGTGAGCTACACACCCACAAGTCCTTACCAAACTATGTGAGCTACAAACCCACAAGTCCTTACCCAACAATGTGAGCTACAGACCCATGAATCTTTACCAAACTATGTGAGCTACAAACCCACAAGTCTTACCAAACCATGTGAGCTACACAACTATAAATCCTTACCAAACCATGTGAGCTATAAACCCATAAATCCTTACCAAACCAAGTGAGCTACAGCCCATAAGTCCTTACCAAACCATATGTGCTACAGACCTACGTGTTATACATGTATTGCAAATTCCAATTGTCTGTTATTGTTTTATTTACAGACATGTTCAGATATATGATTTGACGACATATAAAGCCGTACATAGTTTGACATACCCTGGTTCCATTCTCAGCATGGCATTGTCGGTAAGTCACTACAACAGTTGGTATTTAATTAATTAAGTAAATTGTAAGGGTTGCTTTCTAGTAAAGGTACTAAATATGTAAAAGCACAAATTCTTGAGTGAAAGCTTAAAATCAATGTCAAACAGCAAATCAACTGGTGTACCCTAACTTGTAACATCAAGTCGTACTCTGGCAGCCACTTTGAATGAAAAATAATCAACTGAGGTTCATATTTGACTAACTTTCACTCTGTCATAAATTTTACAGTATCACTATCTTGTGATATGCCTGCCCTTGGCTAAAGGTAGCAACAGGGGTATGTAAAATTAGTAAATTGATCTGTGATTCAGAAATTCTCTAAAAGGGACTGAGCATGCTACTATAACAACCTATATATCATCTGAAAGCTTAGATATAATGAATACAGTTATGAATATGTCGTAGCCATGTTTATCCAAGTGATTACCTGATGACAAATTTGTTATTCTGCTTTTTTTACTATACAGATTATTGAAAACAGTTTTTTTCAACATTTTCAGTAATGCAAATGACCTTTGAATTGCACATGACATTGATAACACTTTAGGCTAGCATTCATTTTTTTTATCTGCCTTTGTTATTTAGCTAAGACCAAATACCTACAGATACAAATGTATGTTACCAGCAACTGATTGTTGCTATTGTCATTCTCCTCACAAACCTAGACGACTGATTTACACGAGTTCAGTATTTAATTTAGTGTAAGTTATAAATGTCAAATTATAACATAATAATTTAATATAATATTTACTTTGTTAGCCTGATGAGAGAACCTTAACTGTCGGTATGTCAGATGGTCTGCTCAGCATCCAACACAGAAAAGACGACAAAACAGAGCTGCCTCGAAAAAAAAATGCATCACAGCGTAATTATCGATTCTTTGTAAGAAATAAGCCGATATACGAGACGTCAAAGGTAAGCTACTGTAGAAGAAGTATTCACTGGGTTTAATTTTACGAGATTCAGTGAAAGAGATATTCACTGGTTGTGAAGGAAAACATGCATTATATTTGTATATCAAATAACACAAACATGCTTTACA